TAGTTTATTTTATTTTATTTGCAATTAATTTTCCGAACATTTCATATTCATCATTCATGCTGGTTTTAATATTTTCAAAAGCTGCTTGCATTTGTTGTTTAGCTTCTATAATTTCTGGAGGAAGATTATCTCTTCTTGGGCTTTTTTCCAATACTTAACTTTGGCCTTTCTTCTATTGCACTATCATCAGTATCAATTCTGTCCTTTGTCTCATTTTATTCACTGACCTGAAACAAAATTAAATTACAGATACCTGTTAATGAACAAGAGTGGTTGGAAAAGGAAGCGGAATTTTATGACATTTTCCCGCATTGCTTAGCTGCTATGGATGAAACATGTAGTTACTTTATCACCAATAACTAGTGGAAGTGAATACTTCCACTATTACAAGCATACAAGTAGTATTGTTTTATTGACTTTAGTGGACAGAAATTATCGCTTCATGTTTGCGGATGTCGGTTGCCAAGGAAGAATTAGTGACGGAGGCGTATTCCGAAATAGTTCATTATTTCAGGCACTTGCAAATAAAATCTTAATTTACCTACTCATTCAACACTTCCCGATTGTAATAACCATGTCATGCATTATGTACTTGTGGCAGATAATGCTTTCCCACTGCACACAAATATTATGAAACCTTTTCTAACCTTTATACCTATAATATTTTAAAAATTTATAGATAGCCCTGCATGTCTCTGGTATAATTTGTGATAGCATGGGTTCTGATATCTATGAGCTATACTTTAAGTCATGATATGCATTTCCCGTTGCTAAAATCTTAAGGTTACAGCAAACCCTTGTTTAGCGCTTAAAATAGTTCTAAATAGCGTATCTTGTTTGATTTATAAAGGGTGTGACTAGGTTTAACCTATATGATCAAATTGTACAGAACTCATTCAGTGCAGAATTTTCTGAAATCTTCTGCTTCTAACAAACTATCAACGTTCAAAATGCATTGTTTGTCTCTTACAAGCTAATATTTTTACACCCAACATTTTCTTTTATTATTTACGCCCTCAGTTAAAGTAAGGGCTATGCCAATTTTTTGGTACTTCGTGAATGCAGGAGCCATCCTTTCACACCACGTTTAGATGCCAACTGAGTTAGGGGGGCGATCTAGTGCAGTGTAATCACAACGACGCCGAACGCCCTAACTGGATACCGATAAGTCGTGCCCGACTTGAGTAGAAGTAGAAATTGAGTAGTGAAATCAGTGCTTGATGGTTAGATGTACGCGAACTTTTTGAAAGAGTGACGTGTTTTTTTTTTTAATTACTTACCGCCCTAGAGCATTTCTAGCTACATTATTACCCTAGAGCGCTTATTTGTCACCTACAAGCCCCATTTACTTATCCAATATCCGGCTTCGGGGTGCGGGGCTCAGTCTGCGCCCTCGTTTTCTTTTACACGCTGCATACAACCGATGACTAGAGAATACAATCCCGGCCACTTTTTTCAACCCCGGGATTACGGGATTATCGATGCGTGATCCCGGGATCCCGGGACTAGCATAATCAGAAACCGTACAGTCTAAGCCCGTGTAGACTGTACGGCTTTTGATAATGCTCTAATGAAAAAAAAAATCGATTATATCAAAAATTATTTTATTTCAAAAATTATAATACTGTTACACACACATGCATACAATACAAAAAAAATCACACTTTTATGTGACATGAGAAAGACACAAAGAAAACTATTTTGAATTTCTAAAAAACAGTCTCCAAAAACAGTTTTAGCTCCGAGCCTGCTTCGAATTTTATTGCCAACATAAGCTGCAGCTGAAAATGCTCGCGCAGGTTTTACGCTGATTGGAGAAATAGACAATAAATACTTATATGCTGTTTCCAAGGTACATATGTCCACGAATTCCTCCATTTTCAAACAGGCTTATTTCACATCTGATACTACTTATCAACCACGATTAGTAGTATCAGATGTGAACCTGTGTTGGACCAGGAAATAAGTCAAGCCATTCCAAATCCGATAATGACTGATTTTCAAATCATTACTTCGTCGTTGCTTAATACGTTCCACTAAGAATGTTTTAATTTTTTTGGCAAGTGCTGAATTTTACTAGACAATTGTTTTATAAGAAATTTCAAAGCGGCATCTGCTATGCATAAATTTGCATCTCGCCGACAGATTGCTTCTACTATCAATTTAATTAGAGTCAGCACATCAACAATTTTATTTACTAATTCAAAATCAACATCTAAACGAATTGGATGATTGAGATCGACCAGAACTTTTTGAATGCAGGTTTTTAAAAGATAAAATCTCTCCAGTATTGTTAAAAGACTATTCCACCTGGTTTTACAGTCCAAAAGAAGTGATAGCTCTCCCATTTTCAATTTTCACATATTTTTGAAGTACTGTTTTATTTTTCAATGGGGATCTTTTGAAATACACTACAACTTTGCTGTTTTTTGTTTTCAATGTTTTCATCTTGTATTATCTCTGGTATTTGTTTCCCTCGCGCAATATCATTTTGTTATAATAAAATTAATCTTGATTCTGGATCGTCTAGGTCTTCTAACGGCCGGTCTCAATAACTTACTAACCTTAAACAATCTGTTAAATTAGCTACCATAAGTAACTGTAACTGCAAGTTTGCGTTTCAATAAAGTAAGATAGATCGGAATTTATATCTTTAACTTTGATCTATCTTTGGGAGGGCCAACCGCTTACCACAGATAAATAGAACCATAGAAAAAAAACGTAGAGCGTTTCAATAACGTTCTGGCAGTTAACTTTAGTTTGTTTGAAATACCATCTGTCAAAAATTTTGTATCTCTCGAATTCGAGGGATATGTAAAAGATTAACTTCATATTTTATTAATAATAATGGCTTTGTTTAGTGATGAAAGTGATAATGAGATGTATGAGGCCGGTATATTTGATTCTGCAATAAATACGGAACCTGTAGAATGCAGAGAGTATAAATTATTATAATGAATTTTCAGACGTTGAATTTACATTCAGGTTTAGGTTAAATAAAAGTAGTGTTGATGAATTATTAATAAAAATATTACCATCTTTGAGAGTAACATCGTCCCGGTGAGTAAAAAGTTTATATTAACATGTATAGGTTATACTATTATTGGTAGTCCTATGCGCATACCTAACGATTTTATATGAACTCTAGTAGATATTTTGGTATACATAAAATAAAAATAAATCACATATTTCAGAAATTGTGGTGTATCACCCCTTCATCAGTTGTTGCTGACTCTTCGATTTTATGCATTGGGCACAATGCTTGTATCCGTTGCGGACTTCATTGGGGTCTCAAAAGCTACCGCTAGCAGGATTGTGGTCGACGTATCTCGTGCAATAGCTGGACTATACCCTGAATATGTTAAAGTATTAGAAAACACCCAGCATGCCTTTCATGCCATTGCAGGATTTCCAAAAGTTCTTGGTGCAATTGATTGTACACATATACCCATACAGTCGCCTGGTTAGTAAAATCGTTTACTGTTATTAATTCTCACTTTTTTACTTAAATCTAATAAAAACTAAGAATAATTTTGTTTTAGATTCAAATGTAGGAGAAGAGTACAGGAATAGAAAAGGTATATTCACAATCAATGTCCAAGGTGCCACAATTTTTAATAACTCTATTTTTAAAAGTAAGTAGAACTTAAATTATTTCATGTTATTCAATTTTTTACAAAGAATCCTCACTTATTTGCTTTACTTCTAGTGCAATGTGAAGATGGCATCTTTGGAAATAGGTGGCTTATTGGTGACAGTGCTTATCCATGTACTTCATACCTATTAACACCACTACTCAATCCAGTAACTATGACAGAAAATCGTTATAATGAAGCACATATTAAGACTAGAAACACAATAGAAAGGTTTGTATTACAACTTGTATTTTAAATATTACTAGTGTCCGGTTTCAACACTGTTATATTGGGATGTACCATAAATATTCCCATTTTAACAATTTTTTACTGCTGCAACACTCCTATTAATTTTAGTGTGGTGGTATGGTATATAATGCCTTCAATGTACGGACTATTCAACTCAAAAATAATTTTTCAATTTAAACCAGTAGTTCCTGAGATTAGCATGTTCAAACAAACTAACTCTTCAGCTTTCTATTATCAGTATAGATGTTTGTACATAGGTATTGCTTGTTTAATTATAAATTTTTCAGATCCTTTGGTGTATGGAAAAGGCGTTTTCCAGTACTGTCATTAAAAATCCGCCTTTCAATACAAACAACACAAGCTGTAATTATTGCTACTTCAGTATTACACAACATTTGCCGGCTAAATAATATTAGTGATGTGGAACCTGAAGTAGAAATAACGCTTGATATGGCTGATAATCTCCCTGTTGATGGAGCAGCCCACCAACATCAAAGTGTTAGACAACATTTGATAAACAATTATTTTAATTGGTATGTATATACTATACACCTACATAATCACACTTTAAGGTTGTAAATATTTAATGACTATCAAGGACTTCTTTTTCAGATATCATGTGTATACTACTTCAATAGTCATAATTATATGCTACTTGAAATTGTAAAAACTAAATACCTATATCAAATGATTTTTGAGTGAAATATGCATTAAGAAGAATAACCAATATTACCTTATTAAGTAATATTATTTATACTACTTCAATTGTCATAATTATATGCTACTTGAAATTGTAAAAACTGAATATATCAAATGATTTTTGAGTGAAATATGCATATTACTTATTATATTACTTATTAAGTAATATTATTTATGATATATGTATTAATAAAAAACAAGGGTCATTTGTATAGTTTTTTTTTTTTATTTAATACACACACACATACACATAAAATACTAAAATAATAATTATTAACAGTATTGCTTAATCTATTTTGTTTTTTAATTGCCCTAATTCTAACTCTAATTTTAAACATTCTAATTCTAACTTTTTATTGTGAGAAATTAACTATAATAAAAATAAACATTACATTTAAGTATTTTATTAAAATTCCTTCACCACTTTGCTGAAAAAAAAAAAATGTAACTAGGAAATCCAACACCTTGGAGATAGAGAAATTTTTATATTTAAATGATATTTATATGAATATACCTACACCATTTCATAATAATGCAAATTTGTAAATAAGAAACCTGAACCCATTATTGAGAGAAATTACATAACTGACTAATGAATTATTTTGTACCTATATATTGGCGAATAGAGTTTAAAAATATGTAACTTACAGCCTTTACTTGGCGTATTGAAAATAAATTTCTTGGGTGTTAAATATGCCTCACTTCCACCACCTGCCTCTAAACTACCATCAGCACCCAATACCACAAAAGTACTGTCCTGAGGGAGTTCTGGTAGTGGCTGCAAGTCTTGGACTTCCACAACAGCTTCTGACAGGGCAACAGATTCATTCTCACCATCGCCACCGAACACCACAGATAAGCCTGTACATGTAGCACCTAAAATAGATGCTACACGTTCCAAAACTTCATCTGGGGGAATGAAGGCCTTCCCACCTCCTGTCTGTAAATTTAAAATAAAGTTTAGGGCAACCAAAATTAAATATCTGATTTTAACATCCAGAATTTTAATATGTACCTTAAGGTTGTTTTGTCTAATTAATGCACTACGCTTTCTTGCAGCTTTTTTCAAATTCTCCCATTTTAGACGTAGTTGCTCAGGACGCCGTATTTCTCCCGTCAAAGCGCTAAGCTCCTGCGCAATCGATTTCCAAGCTTCCTCTTTCAACTTGTTGTTGGTGGCATTTGTCGATTTTGAGGTGATTACATTGTGCTTGGAAATCATATCAAGCAGGAGAACTATACTGTCCTTTGTCAGCGCCTTCGCCCTTATCTGAAAATAAATTATATTTTACGCGCGAACGACAAGAAAGAAACAAACAAAACTTCTAGTGTTTTTCAAACATATTCAATGAAATAGTTATAAGTAATACTTACTAGATCAGCCATCTTCTGTGACGTATGTTAATTATTATTGTTTATAAATTGAATAATTGATAATAAAGTGAAACTCAAATGTAATGAAACAAACAAAACAAAGAGCGTCAAAACGAGAGCGTCTATCGTTCGTCAGTCAGCTCATCTGGCAAACAGATGTCAATTTGCGTTTTATTGCTTCGAGTTCTTAAATATTATATCATTATTTTACTAAAAATATACCTCTTTATGAATAATATTAAAAAGAGATGTTTTAAAAAGTAGAGTATTATTAATACTAATAGCCTTATATTAAAAATAATTATAAATTTCATAATATTAACTAGTGAGCCGGTTTGTTAAGATGCAAAAACAGAACGCTTGGGAGGGATACGTTAACCAAAGATATCGAACTTATCCGTGCTTAACTAAAGTAATCGTTGCTATACTTTTGTTATTGAAACGACGGTAACAGATAGATTAGATGTTTCTGGAAAACTCTGGTAGCTATCCAAGTTTTTCTTTTGGTAGGTTATTGAGACCGGCCGTAAATGGTTATCATCGCTATCGTCCATATAATCTACAACTACAGCTAGTTCCTTTATTGTATTATCTGAGATAAAGGTGTCTTGCAAAGAATTATATCTTTCATAAAGCACATCACAGACGGCCAAATTGACACCATGTGCAAGACACAGTTGTTATTACAGTGCAAACTAGCCGTCCCACCTTTACGATAACATTCGGTCCATCGGTTACAATAGCCACGATATCAGTATCTAGGGATATATTAATTCATGTAGACGCTATTTCAATGTACGAAGACAATTTTCAGCTGTCATACTTCCGTAAATAGGAATAAGTCCTAAATTCCAAAATTGTTTATATGAATGAACGTTGACAGCCATGGATCTTTTATTGGACGTTGAAGTCCATTCGTCGACAAAAATACTAAATCTCTCACCTGTATTTTTTTTTTCTTTAATTCCTCAGTTATTTATTTTTTTATTTTTTCACTGTAAGGCCGTCTACAGAAAGAAAGCTGGAAACTTATAAGCGCTTACCAGCGCTTGTCAGCGCTGGTCCGTTCTACACAAAGGAAGCAGGTTGAAGCAGACCAAGCAAAATGTCGGACTCACCGGACGATGATTTGGTTTTGTTAGAAAATGTGTATTTAAAAAAGGGGAAAAGAAGCTATACATCCCATTAATAGAGAAAGGAAACATTTCGGAGAGTACCATCATTTATTTGTAAATAAATTGAAATTTGATGATGAAAGATTTCATAAATATACAAGAATGACTCAAGAAACATTTCATTACATTTTGGATTTAGTGAAAAACCATTTGATGAAAAATTGGTGTAATTGGCATAAACAACCAATCCTTCCAGAAGAAAGACTTGTTGTCACCATTCGGTTAGTATAAAACAAATATATTTATCGCTTACTTATTCAAAGATAAAGTTATTTTTATGTTTATTAAGTAGATTAATAAAAATATTAAAATATATTTTTTATTGAATAACTTCTAACCTTTAATGTGACTTTGATGATAAGTAAAAATGAATATTACATTGATATCGGCCAATCGGCTATGGAATTTTTTTGCGTGGTACTGAACTCTTTTTCTGTGTTTTGGTGCTTTCTATCTTCTCCGAGACTTTGCTTGGGCTGGCTTGATCGTCTTGATTGAGATTGTCTTGATCGAGATTGTCTAGATCGGGATTGTCTTGGTCGAGAATAGAATCACCTTGGATATAATTAAAATCACTGGTTTATGGCTCAGATCCTGACACTGATAATTGACGTTTCGATTTGGTCAGATTTCCCGAAGATTTTCTTGCTTTAATGATATCTTTCAAAAACAGCAGGGATTTGTAATATGGCCATTTTGGTTCATAGGAAGTAGATGCTCCATCCCCAGAACGTGAAACTGGAATTTTTCCATGTTCGATTGCAAATTGGTCCCTCAAATATTTCCATTTCTTCCTGACTTTGTTCTCTGAAACATAAAATATTTTATTTTCATTTCAGCTATCTTGCAACTGGTGCATCATTTGCACATTTGGCATTTGAATCTAGAATGGGGATTTCTACAGTAAAGGTGATAAATGAAGAAACAGTCAGTATATTATGGAATTAATTACAACCGATACATATGCCTATACCTACAAAAGAAACTTTCTACTCAATAGCTAACGACTTCAAGAATGTTTGGGATTTAAAAATGCTTTAGGGGCCATCGACGGGAAGCATGTACGTGTAATCTGTCCAGATCAGTCAGGATCTATGTTTTTCAAGTACAAAAAGTTTTTTTTTTCTATGATTCTGCAAGCAGTCTCCGACGCAAATTATAAATTTACAATGGTTGAAATTGGTGGATTTGGTAAACAGAGCGACGGTGGAACATTTAAGGCTTCCGAACTATATGAAAATTTTAATACCGGGCATATGGATATTCCAGAACCGGGATATTTTCCAGGAACGAAAGTGAAAGCGCCGTATGTTTTTATAGGCGATGAAGCATATCCATTGCTAAAATATTTATTAAAACCCTTTGGTGGCCGAGATTTGTCTTCAGATCAAAGAAATTTTAATAATCGTCTATCGAGAGCCAGAAAATGTGTTGAGTGTGCGTTCGGCATAGCAAACTCAAAATGGCGACTACTTTCTAAATGCATTGAATGTAATGTTGATTTAGCAGAAAAAATGTTAAATGTATTTGTGTTTTACACAACACTATAATCGATAAAGAAGGTATCGACCGAAATTTCACTCCTGTAAATACAACCCATTTAAGGTGGAATAGAGTAAATCAACCTACAAATGAAGCAATGGATATAAGAAATATTTACGTTGACTTTTTTTCTCACAATACATTGAATTACAACAATTAATTATTTAACTTTATCTACCCTCACTTACATTAATAGCATAGCTATGACATTAAGTAAAATTTTCTGGCATATTTAAATTATAAAACTTAACTTTATTAAGGTCGAGAAACAAAAATAAAATCAATTAATATTTACCGTCTTCATTCATTGCCTCGCTTATTTCTTTCCAACATTTGTCAATCACCTTTCTATTACAATGCCTTTTATCCCTTTTGTCCCACAGAGGTTGCTTACTAAAGACTAAGGATATCAACACGTCACTATCCATTTTAATATCTATCAAAATAAATATGCTTGCCGTAATTTGCGCGTGTTGTCGCAGTTGTTTATTAATTTTAAATGGCAGCGCCCAGCGCTGACCAGCGCGTATTGAAGCGTGTCGGAACTTGTCGGCACCGTTCATTGCTTATCGGCACCGTTCAGTGCTTATCGGCACCGTTCAGTGCTTATCGGCGCGTGTTCATATATTTTCCTGCGCGGGTTACCAGCGCTGTTAAGCGCTTATAAGTTTCCAGCTTTCTTTCTGTATACGGCCTAAGTCATAACACGCTTTCGAATGGTGATGAGTGATGACTGACTTTGGTATATCCGTGTATTTTGCTAAGAGCAATTTTCTCAAATCATCAGAAATTATAAAAACACTGAATGGAAATCCATCTAATGCAATCATTCTTGCCAAAACACCATCCAGGTTATTGTCGGCACTTTTAGTAAAATAATCATCTAATTTTCGCTTGACTGACGGCGGTGCTGTGTTTAGATTTTCAGATTCTTAACTTAACAGAACAACTTGACTTGTTGAAGCTGATATTATGTTTTGATGACAAATGTGCATACAATTCCTTAGTCCACCGAAAGTCCTGAGAATGGCAAACATTGCTTACATTTCGCACTTAGACGTTTAACTTTAAAATGTCTCTTAAGGTAGCATTATCTGCTTATTATGGTTATATACGTAGATAATCTTCCGTCTGTACGTCTAAGTATTGGCGATGGTTTGTATATTGTAGTGAAAAGCTCTGCTTTGATAATCTAAAAAACGGCGGTATATTTTAATCTTACAAATATTTTATGGCAGCTATACTTCGATCAACAATGTCGATCAAAGCAGCTATTTTATACTATACAATATCATTATTGCCATAACGAAGACGAACTTTATTTGAACTGTTTATTTTTTATGTATAGACGTAAATGAACCCAGATTAAAAAGGAGGATGCATTTTTAATAAAACGACACAATTATCCTTCAGATTATTCATTCGAAACAGCTGACTTCTTTTGCGGGCTGCTTTTTTTAAATTATCCCATTTCAATTTAAGTTGGTCTTTTTGTCTGGGGATAAACGCACACTGCATCAAAGGATGTGACAAACGACCAAGCTTCTTCTTTTAGTTTATTTGTAGCGGCATTGGTTGCCTTTGTCATTAAGGCAGGTTTATCTTGAATTAATTCTATAAGATAAATAACCTCATCGTGAGTCATAGTTTTTCTGGTTTACTATAAAAAATATGTTGGCTAATGTTAGCGCGAAAATTAAACCCAGTATTTTAAAGATTGACACTATATACAATATTACCTACAGTAATAATAACATAAAATAAACAGGTTTAATACAAATCTGAACTTACCATAGTAGTCATTCCTCGATTTTTTTAATTGAATATTTGAAAACAATTGATCTCTTATTTTATTTGTAGACATAACATTAAAACAGACAAGAAGGTAGGCACTCCAGTTAATTTTATTTTATAATAACGCAAGATTTCTTATCTTTGAATGATAAAATAATTAATTTTAACCGCCAAATCCAAAAGATATCAAAATCCTCAATTTAAAAAAACTAAATGTTTTTAATGATGTGTTTTCTTATCATTTGCATTATTTTATATTAAAAGTAATAAATTAAGAAACAATATTTTTAGATGGTTGTTGGAATTACCAACATTTAACTTTAATTTTAGTAATTTTTAAGTTTATCCTGTGACAACATTGTATTAAAGCTTTAGTGTTGACAACACTGATTCCCCCCCTGTTCTGTACCAACCAATGTGGAGAATAAACGTACATTGTACTAAACGCGAATCTTTTATTATATATTCCAGCGCCAATATAGTTTACTTCTTTATTGCGTATTGCGTACAATGGTGTAGAAAGATATTAAATTTTATTTACTTCTAAAAAGTTAAGTAAAAATTTTTATCAATACCTATATCTCAATAATACATTAGAAACAATATTTAATTATGTAGTCCAAATTTGAATAGTGGTCTCCTTGATCTTCTTAAATCTTTCTATTTTAGCTTTAATGCCTCTTAGAAAATTCCAAATATGCATTGAAACGTCGAACACTTACGTTTTAGTGTGAAAAATATTATTTAATACAAGTCTGTATGGGCGAGACCTCGTTGTATTTACTTAACCCTTAATTGGGCAAAAAATTCTTAGCGTGATTTATTAAATAATTACACAAAAAAAGAACATCGTGTCTTTTTTACAACATCGCCAAATACTGGAGAAGTTAAGTAGTTTTGGCAGTGATGCCTTTTTACAACATCGCCAAAGGTAAGTATAAAAATATAAGACAGATTTAAGAGTTTAATGTTTATTATTTTTTTATGAAAATCATAAAAACAGTTTCGATTTTTGTCAAATACAGCCTAACGTTATATTTTATACAAATTATCGTTGTGTAACCGTTTTTATCTGTAACATTTCGTAAATGATTTAGTCCATCATACCTAATGTCAGCAATTGGACGAGCTGCGCTTGGTTTTTTATTTTCTCTGATGGACCTGGTGTGTCACATATTACTGTGTTCTTGTTTATGGATAAAGCCATAAAAATTTGGCACCGAAACTCTTTCAAGCTTAATGTTTTTATATGTCACTTCTAGACACAGTGTCGTCGATATAGCAGCTAACCATTATTGATGCTTATATCCAGGATCTGAGCGAAGATGCCCATGTACCATCTTGTATTCAAAGGAATCCTGTATCAGGCTATTAACATGTCCGCTAAATCAACGCCACCCAAATGTGCATTGTAATATTTAACAAGTTTGGAGCAATCTACATCAACCCGTGCCTTGCGTTCTGTACTCAACAAAGTCACAGCTTTGTTGTCATACCATTTGATTGCAGCTACCTTATTCTTGTTACATACTATTTTCACACATTTTCACTACTCCCATAATAATATGAATAGCAAGAAAATTTTTAATGTCTTTTTGTGTCACATTTATACTCGTAGATCTGCCTATATTTTCAACGGAATAAATATTTGTCTGTTCTACGATATCCAAAATAATGTCTTCAGAAAAAAACTCCGTGAAATAATCAGGAGGTGACATTAGTTCAGTGACTGGATTAGAAAACGGAATCGGCTCTACAGTAGCTCTGTGCGCAAAATGTGTCTTCCTCTAATTAAATGTCGCTTGCACTGGTTTGATTCGCTTTGCTAATAGACGCGGTCGAATGTTTGTTTCTTCTTGCCATGAAGATCTAGTGGCGAATCGTTTTGCTGGACCTCGCGATGTTTGTGTGGTTTGCAGACCTATAAGTGACTGTTCAGTTGGTGTAGGGAGCAAAGGAATTGAAGAAATAGATGGGATAGCATTGTAATCGGTGTCATGTGCAGAAGGAAATACTGCTTGCAACACAGGAGTGATGGGGACATCATGGTCAGTAGCATCACTTTCACACTCAGTATCACTGCCCAATATGTTCATACGCTCTAAAGATGATTCTATTGAAGGTGCTGGAAAGCTAGAGTAATAAGTGTTTTGCTCATGATCTGGGATTGGTTCAATTTCGTCATCTCCAATATCTGATGCGCCGCTGTCATCAGAACGCGCATTCTCAATAGGGACTTAAGCTAATATACGGTTAGCCCTAGCTCAGTGAAGTACCTACGAACAAAAACTACCGCATGCAACCAAAGCCAAACCAATGCAAAAAAAAAGGAAAGTAATGTGCACTCATATAAGAACAACAGCCCTATGCCCACAGATGCATTCAAGTTGCAACATACAATATCATGATTATTACAAAAAAAAAAAACAAAACATAGAGCTTTCCCGCGGGAATGAGGTATTGTCCCGCGGTAATAAGTAGCTTATGTATTATTCTTATATGTAGGATATATTGCTCTAAAATTTCGTGAAAATCCGTTCAGTAGTTTGTGCGTGATTGAGCAACAAACAAACAAATAGACATTCAACGGAAGCAAGATATAAACAATTACACTTTGGGCAGTGTTGTTTTTTAGCAACGAGTTAGTAAACGCACAATGACGAGAAATTATCATTTATATTATCATCAAGCAATATTCCCACACCATTTTCACAAAAAATAGATAAATTCAATAAAACTTACGGCTTTGTTGTTGTTGTTGCGCCGCATGTCGGCTGTTTGACAGAAATAGTGATATGCAATGCTCAAAACTAAATGAATACGAAATTTAATACGGTAGTGATGGGATCATATATACTTAAGGATATAATCATTCGATTTCAAACTGAATAATTATATGGAGCTGTAGATTTTTTTTTTTAATTTATGCCCAAAAAGTATCGATACCAAATTGAGGGTTAACAACTGAAATAAAAAATATCTGTTACCGACAACCGTTCGTAGTTGGTAGGCGCTTACCGATAATTGTGAAACGCGAAAACGGATAGTTATGGGTAGCTCAATAAACCGACGGTAGCTGCTAGATTATTGAAACCGGAGGTTAGAAAGCATTTTGCTTCAAGTGCGGACGACCGGGCGGCAATATGTCGAAGGTCTCTTTGGATTAGAGATTTTTCTGCGCCCGTGTTGTATTAAATAAAATTTTATGAAATCAGAAAGTACACTGACAATAGAAAATATTTTACTCGCTTGAGACAGTGAAATATTAAACCTTCAGCTAACTGTGAAAATGTTTTATTTAACCTTATTTGCATTAAACATAATAAAATATGATCTTCTATTAGTTTGACGTGTTTTGAAATTATAGTAATTATAAAATACAGCTGTGCTGGTATTCCAATATACAGTCGCGAATTAATCTTAATCTTATTTAAGGTGCTCTGTAAATTTAGTTTGTCATCTTTAACAATATTTTCCTGTAAACTGTCTACAGATATCCATCAAAAGATGAATCAATCGATGAGTCTCCATGCGATAATGTATATGTGATAAATATGATGCATCACTGTTATATCTTTCCTCAGTAAAAAATAATCTTCCTTTCGAAAGTGATTGACCAGATATGGAGGGATTGTAACTCTTTCCTGACTTAATAGATGTTGCACTTATCTGGTGAGAAATTTATTGAATCGGTGAAGATATGGCATCTTTCATAGCTACACTGAATTGCACCTGTTTACTTCTATAATGTTTTGATGCATTAGTTTGA